TGTGGACTAAATAAAGGGTTTGGTTAGGAAATTCCAACGTATATCACCTGGAGAAGGCTGGAGTGAACAATGACTGAAACATTGTGAATATGGCAATAAAGATGAGGACAACAGTCTGTAAATAGTGTTGTGAATGATGTTTATTTCAGTTTAGTGATTTTATTTTTTATTTCAGATAATTTGAAATTAGGAAAATAATTTCACTTAATGAAAGGTTTCATTCACTTTTATTTTCTATTTTTAGAATATATTCTTATATATGACTTATAAAGGCAAGAGTAAATATTTACTTTGTTAATATACAAGAGCAAGGATGTCATTGGTTTATCAAGGATTTTAAATTTGAGTGTATTTATGAATATTCATCAGGTGGTTGAAATCCATGAATGTTCTCATATTTAAAAAAACCTTGTTAAACTAATGACATCCTTGCTCTTGTATATAAACAAAATGAATCCTTACTTTTGACTTGATAAATTCCATCATAAGATGAAATACATTTTTCCCCATGTCTTTTTATTCTTCCTTATTCTTAATTTACAGATACTCTATCTGAAATATATAAAATAACCTGACAGTTGCATTTAACATGAAATACTGTCACTTCTGGGTGTTGACTTCAATGTCCGCTTATATTATATATTATATACTAACTTCAAATCTGCTCTTTTGGGCATCGTTTAAGCTAGCTCCTGTGGAAGATTCTTTGTTTGGTCATCAATAACCTAGGGAGGATTAGGTGTGATAGGCATCAATAAACTACAGAAGAACTCAAAATTGATCACTGCATTTAAATATTGAATTAATGTTTAAGCTTACCTTTTAAAAGTTCAATGATAATTCTTTTGCTGCCACTTAATTTAAAGACAATTTGATGTACGTAGATCCTTATTTTTCATACAACAATTATTTTTATTTTATGGGGGACAGAACAGGGGGACAATTTATTAGATAAAATTAATATAGTGTAAAGATGGGAAAATAGAAATTAGAATTAGTTATACATTCAATATTTGAAGAGTTAGAGCAACATAATAACTAATTAATTAAAACCTATATTATGGAATATAATATATTAATATATAATTTTAGCCTCGCATAATCTGTCAACTCTGAATCTGAGCTCAACGAAAATTGTTCCCTGAAACAAACTTTTCTAAGGCTTTTGAATGAGCAATGAATCCTTGAAATCGGACCAGTGGGATGGGAGTGGAGGAGTTGCTTGAATGCACGTAGAAACATACACCCATATACTGTACTCTATATATGAGATAAAAGTGTCTGTGTACAGATTGTTTTGTAAAAAAAAAAAAATATATATATGTTCAGCCATGGTGTTTCTGCAAGATAATGTTTTTATATATATATATATATATATATATATATATATATATACACACACACACACACACACACCGTAATTCCCCATGTATAATATGCATTTTTTGTTATCATAGTGGCCAATATCAACACTTATTTGATCGGCCACGTCCTGAAGGGATGCCTCTTTATGTGCCCCCTAGAAATTACAAATTTCTCTTTATGATTATAAGTACCCTTTTTTGTTAACATTTTCTTTACTTGTTCGGTCCATGGTATTCTCAGCTGCCTTCTGTAGAGCCATATATCTGTTACTTCAAGTCTCTTCATCTGTGAGGAGATTTTCTGGCATTCACTGCCATTCAGGTGTCAAATTTTTAAGATGTTAATTTTTCTTAAGCTAATTTAGGAATTATTAGTTTTTTTTTTTTTTTTTCTTTAAAGATATTACAAGAGAGAAGTGGACAAAGTGGAAAGAGATTTTGTGTGACATGTTTCTTCCTTTAGGATTTTATTGGACTAAATTTATGTTTACATTGATGTGGCTACATATGTGCACGAATAAGAGATGCTGAGAATTTTGTATTTAAAAAATTTTTTTTTTTTTTTTTTTTTTTAGGTATGTAATATCACTGATTTCATTTAGGTTATTTTCTTTCTTTTTGTTTGTTTCCATCACTTTTGGTATTAAATATCTCACATTGTAATAATAGAAGATCTGCCAAGAAAGATGAAATATAAGAAACTGGAAGCAAATTTACTGTCAATGATCTAGTGATTAAAGCACTTTCTAAACATTTGTCTTAGTAATTTGATCTATTTTAATTAGAGTAGCATTTTTTAAATCAAAATTGTGGTTAGTCTCATTAGGGTGAACAAGTAATGCATTTAAGGTATTGTTTTGTAAAAAAAATCCCATTTGAAAATTAAAAGATCCTTTCCTGCTTCCCATCAGCATGGCTGATACTAACCTCCATGAAAGTGAGTCATTATGCCTTGTTGGATATATATTCTCAGCTGAAATGAAGTGGAAAGACTCTATTGAATCCATTGTGAGGTCTGCTGCTAAGAAAGTCAGGTCATTGTGTCTTGCTAGACAATTTTTCTCTCCAGCATCTATCATGCATATTTATAAGTCTACTATTCTGCATGCTGCTGCCACATCTGGTCCGGTGTTCCCACTGTATATTTAAATATTCTTGGTAAAATCCAAAGAACCAGCAATATTATTGGTTCTGACCTGGCTTATTGGCTTCAATCATTTTCTCACTGCTGTTATGTAGCTCTCCTGTGCCTTTTTGTATAAATACTTTCATGGAAATTGTTCATATCTACCCTTCATGTTTGTATCTTTAAGTGCAGTACTAGATTGGTGGCAAGGTCTCATCAGTTCATAGTTGTATTGGTTAGCTGTAACTGTAAATTCTATACGGACAGTTTCATTTCTCACACTTCTTGCTTGTAGAATTTCCTTCTGGCTCCATGCTTTCCAGCCAACTTTAATCTACAGAAATTTAAATGCAATGTCAATTGTTATTTACTGTCTGCCTAATTACTCTTTCCACTTCCTGCTCATTATTAATATTTCTGTTCCTAATTCTCCCACACTCTGTAACACAGTGGTTTTACTGCCTTGTATGAGGTGTCACTGATTTTAAAAAAAAAAAAAAAAAAATGAACTGAAAAAATATATGATCCCAAATGCTAATACAAACAAACAAACGTTCAATCACAAATAAAAAAAACTTCACAAAAAAAAAAAAAGTTTCCTCAAACTTAATTCAGTTTTGAAAAATGTAGGCCACAAAATGTAGTTTGAATAATATCAGTTTTTCCAAGTTTTTGTAAATTTAATTTATACATTCAAACAAATTATAATTACAACTGAAAATGTATAGTGGTGGGGAAAATCTTTTTCTTCTATGTACGATGTCTCTTCAGGATGCGGGCAGTCATGGCTCTCTGTCTTTTTGCTATCTCTGTTCTGCCAACCATTTACAAAAGCTTGTTAAGTAGGTTATGTGCTGTTTTCCACTGTCCCTTCAATCTGTCCTATTAGTGATAAATTCTCCAAGCCCTCTTTCTTCATTTTGTGCCTTAGAAATTCCTACTGTCTTTTTCTGATGCTAAGTATTCTTTTTGTTTCCATTTTCTTTAAAACTTCATTGTTGTTCACATGTTCAGTTCATGGTATTGTCAGCATCCTTCTGTAGAATTTCTGTTACTTCTTTTTGTATAACAGTTCAGTAATTTTTTCTTTGTTTCTAATAAAATATTCCTTTTTCTTAATACTTTGCTTAGCTATCAGTTTCTTTTCTTGCACTTCTCATTTATGTAACTCTCTTCTGGCTTTATGCTTTCTGGACAACTTTGATCTTCAAAAATTTAAATTCAGTGTCAATTGCAATCTATTGTCTTGATTACTCTTCTATTCTTTTCACTCTGTAATGTCTTTTTTTTTTTTTTTTTCTTTTCTTGTTCTTCTATAATCAATTCAGTAACTCCTTGTGCCTTAGTGGCTTCACTGTCTTGTATAGGGTGATTTTTTTTTTTTTTTTTTTTTTTTCTTTAATTCTTTTACAATAAATCCACAAAAGAAATCTAAAGTAATATGAAAGTTTTGTTTTAATCTTCCTCTTAAGTACAAATAATCTTAATAGAAACACGCTTGTGTAAATGATTGGCAGACCAGAGATTAGGAGATAACGTAAAAAGAAAAGCTTTACTAAGGGTTACAAAGAACAGGAAGTTGTGGAGAGCTATGATCGGCCATGTTCTAAAGGAACACTGCACATATAATCAACTCCAGCTGCAAATCATTCAAGGTGCTCGCAAACCACAAATGTCCACTTTAAGATACTTGCAGCAAAAACCTTTACTTCATTTGTTTTTTTAATCCAGTTAAGCCTGGTCAGCGTCTAGATGGGAAGATGAGGTGCTGTAAGCTTGGGTGTGTGTGTGTGGTGTAATGGATAATGGCTTGGAATTATTAATCAGAGAGTAGAGTTCCAATTCTCATTTGTATTAATTATATTCACTTTTATACAAATACCCTTGGGAAAGGTATTAATCTACCTCTTCTCCTTGCAGCCATGGGATAATTTAGTAAGACTTGTATCACTAAACCATTATCTGAAAAAAAAATTCTGGCTTTAAATAACCTGCAAAGGGTTGATAAGGCATAAAAAACAAATTAATCAATTGGCCATTGTGAGATGGTAGCAGAAAAAAATCTGTACTTCATTTGTTTTTGTTCATGTTTTTTGTTCTCATATGACCACCAAAATTAAGCAACATCAAGTCTGGTCAGTACCTAGATGGGTGACCACTTGAAAAGACCAGTTGCTGTAAGCTTGGATGTGTGGGTGGTGTATTGGATAATGGCTTGGAATTATTAATCAGAAACTCGAGTTCCAGTTATCGTATTCATTATATTCACTTACATGCAAATATCGTTGGGACAGGTACGAATCTACCTCTCCCCCACTCCCAAATATAGTGACCAGTTACACAAAAATAGAAATAGGCTTTAAAAGAAAACCTTTTTTTTTTTCTTTTTCTGGCTAGTTCTCTTAATTGCTCTTGTTTTTTTTTCTTATTATAGATAAGTCAAACTGGGGTGTGGTAAGTCTCTTTCGCGACCTGTTAGTCCCAGTCGTGAAGGGAAAAACACTACACGAATGGACAAAACAGCTCAGAACAAGCAGTTCATCATGCCTCAGTTTCCGGCCCCCAACTCACAGCAGCGCTCCTCCTTATCGTCACCGACATCTTCAATCGGACGTAACAAGGTCAGCTTGAAGCGGGGTCGTTCATTGATGGACTGGATTCGTTTAGGACGGAGTGGCAAAGACCTCACAGGAGTTGGTGGGAAAGTTTTAGAGGTCACTGAGGAGGAATTGGCAAAGCATAAACTGGAAGAGGATGTCTGGATGGCAATAAGAGGTAGGTTAGCATATTTCTTTTTTTCTTTCAAGATTGGAAAGATTCTCATGGGTGAAGGATTGTAAGTGTGGAAGGGGAACCTGGGTCCAAAGTTTGCATGGATGAGAGATTGTAAATGTCAAAGTGTGAGTTAGTCCAAAATTTGCATCAATGGTGGATAGCATCTGTGGAAAGTGGGCCTTAGTCCGAGGTTTGTATCAATGTTGGATTGTGACTGTGGAAAGGGGCCCTCTTGCAACAATGGAATGGAGACCTGCGTCCAAGGTCTGCATGGATGAAACATTGTAATTGTGATTGGGCACCTGGGTCCAAGTTTTGTATTGATGAAAGATTTTGACTGTGAAAAGGGGCCTGGATAGATGTACGATTGCAACTGTGGAAAGGGAGCCTGGGTCAAAGATTTGCATCAATGAAAGTGTGATACTGTGGAAAAGAGCCTGGAAATATTGAGAATAAAAAAAAAATAATGAAGTCTAATTTTTTTTTTTTTATTTTTTTATTTTTTATTTTTTATTTTTGTCATTTCTCACCTATTCTGTTTGTCAATGCACAAATTCCTAACTGCTGACAATCATTTTTTCTTGATTCTCAAAAATAGTGATTCTTCTCCCATCTATGGGTTAATTAGTAGGACTTGCATCAATAAGTCATTTTTATCTCCCCAAAAATTCTTTACATTATTTGGATTATTGAAGAGAGAAGGGAGATCACTGCCCTCTGTGGGATCAGGTTAAAACCATAGACAAAGAACACCATTGGAAAATTCGTAAACTTAAGGAATCAGCACATATGCTATGCCACAAAAATCTCCTGAGACGACCAAGCATGGAAATGAATACAATATGGGAACCAGTAATAAGGAGTGCCAGAGAAAAAATTGCAATATGAGTACTGGTAAAAAATGTTGCTGAAGACATTCGGTTTATAATACCCAGAAATTCATACACAGATGTCCTCAAGGACACATGGAACAGTGGATAAAGGCGTTAGATAGATCGAGTGACAGGACCCAAAGAGTGTGAGTTCAATACCCGGTTAAGAGAAATTTCAGAGAGGAATTAACAGGAGATAACTGATAACCGACATCCATTAAACATGGCACATGGAACTAGAACAGTCTTCCCCATTGAGTGAAATAAAGGGTTCAGTTCGACATTCCAAGCACCTGAAGAAGGCTTGAGCGTACAACGGACGAAATGTTCTAATAAATATGGCGACAAAGATAGTCCGAATAATGTAAATAATATACATAATACCTCATCTCAAAAATATAGACAGATACCAAAAATTCTTACAATCTAAAAAAAAAAAAATGTTCTTACTTTAAATAACCTGCAAAATAGCAGTCTATTGGTTTTGCCTATTCTCCGGTTTATACTCCACCCTTGTCTTTTGAAATAGGGGGGATTGGGTTTCCATTTCATTCTACTCTATACTTTTAACATCTCCACCTAAACTCTGAAATTTGTAGTATCATTAAGTTTCTGGTTCCTTCTAAAGTTTTTTCCTTCTATTTCACTTTAAGTAGCACCTTGTATCTTAGTGCTATTATCACTTTGTTTGGAGTGAATAGGTTTAAAAAACAAAGTAATCTGTGCCTCTACCACGAGTGGCTCTTGGGCCTTGTATAGAGTAAACATTGTATTAAATAAATAAATAATCACTTTTTCAAAATAGTTTGCAAGAGTCCTCTTTCTGGATTATCATTAATTGGCTTGTCGCATCATTTTTATAACCAATTTATAAGCTGCTAGATAAAATTGCCCAATTTTTTTCTCTACTATTCTCTAAAGAGGCATGGTGGAGTCATGAATTGTGTCTTAGATTGAGGAATCCAAGAACTGAGTTTGGATTCCAGTCAAGTTTGTTCCATTCTTTGATGTGCAAATATCCTTAGGAAAGGTATGAATCCATCTCTATCCCTCTAGCTATGGATAGATAGATAGCAGAACAGACTGGGTCCTATAGCCTTGGGTTGCAGCCAGTCTAAGAGGAGGACAACTCTGAATTTGAAACCTCCAACTATGGGTTAAATGGCCTCAGTAACCCACAATTTGCCAAGTGCAGTGCATACAGCTACATACTTAAAGACATGGTCAGTCAGGGAGGGATTCCTCCAAGGAGTGAAAAGGATCTGGATCTTGGTCTATTCCAATGTGCTTTCATTCATGGTACATTTTTTTTTTTTTTACTGTTAAGATATTTGAATTGAAGTTACTTTTGTTGAGATTAATACTATTTATTCTTAATAAATTATTAATTAATATATATTTGTTTATTAAGAGAGGACAATAAAAATATAACAAAAATAAAGATTGGAATAATACAAAAGACAACTATTGGCATTGCATTTACATTTTGAAGATCAAAGTTGACTGTTGAAAGAATAGAGAAAAGCTGGAAGAAAGGAATTTTACAAAAGACAACTGGCAGAGGAAAAGAGTTCCAAAGCAAAGCTGGAAGAAAGTTTTGCAGAAGAGCAAGAAGAAACTGGTAGCATAGAACTTATGGTTACATCTGTCCATTTTGACTGTAAAATGACTTCCTTGCCACCAGTCTAGTACTGTGCTTAATTTCATAGTCTAGATACTAAAGAGGAAAGCTCTTCAGAACAATTAGCATGAAAATATTTATAGGAAAGGCACAGGGAAGCAACTCGACAGTGGTGGGAAAATGACTGAAGTCGAGATGCCAGGTCAGGACCAATAACGTTGCAGATTCTTCTTTGTATTTTATCAAGAATCTCTAAATACATAGCAGAAGCACCAAACCACATGTGGCAGCAATATTCAATGCATTGATGAATTATAGATATATAAATATGTAAAATAGATTCTGGTAGGAAAAATTGTCTAGCACAGCATAATGAACCAACTTTCCTTGCAGCAGACTTAGAAATTGATTCAGTGAAAATAAAAAAAAAAAAAAAAAAAAAAGTGGTAAAGCAATGAAGCATTTCTGTAATATGAATTCTTTTTCATTATCTGAAATAGTCGACAAAAAACCTGTTGGATTAATTTGTAATGAATAGCTGGTGAATGAAAGCATGAAAGAAGCAAAATGTTTTGATAAAAAAAAAAAAAAACAAGCAACTTACACGAATAAGCCTGCAGACTTTTATTTGAGAGCCTATTGAAATCATTAACTGAAAACAAGTTATTGTTGCCAAAGCATCCACTGGTTCTTGAAAAATACTTGAGAGCATCTTCCAATGCCTAATTGTTAATTGCAGACACTGCTGAAGCGTTGGCGAAAAACTTGGATTATCAGTGGCAGTTACAACAGAAGAATTATTGAAAGAGCAAAAAAATCGGTCAAATAATTAAGGAATGTTTGACTGTCAGATAAATAATTAAATTGACTGAATTTAATAAATTTCTGAAATTAACAATACCTGGTTTGAGCAACTCAATGGGAAAATTGGTTTTTGATCAGCTGACTGAAATTACAAACATGGTATAATTATTGACAGAGGTCAAGTAGTGCTATGTTAACACTTCCATTGCTATGGGTGTTATATATATATATATATATATATATATATGTCTCTATGAAACTTACATTGTCTGCTGTTGGTATATATCTGTTTTCTAGACATACTATAACATTGTGTCCACTACAAAACTTGCATTGTTTGCTGTTGACATAAATATACACGTTTTCATGACACCATGAAATGTTGGTCAATAGCATTTCTCTTGTAAACTAACTCGTGTTTAGTGCTATTTCCAAACCAGCATAAACATATAGTAGCATACAATGCAACCTATTTTGTGACATTTTTATTATACCTTGTGTTGGAAGTGTTGTTTAGCTTAGTCTTACTGTAGAGTATTCAATAGCGACATCCATAAGAAATTGCCACCATATCTTATGTTCATTTTTCCCAGTAACAGCTGAAATTTCTTGGACACATAGAAGTAGCGGGGTTTGGAGAAGTTGACATTCACAGGATGTATTGATGATAGAAGGGACAGTGGAATGCAGTGACAAGCTTGTGTGAATGGATAGCGGAACACTGACGGAGGCTTAGCAAAGGAACAGGCATTACTAACAGCTAAAAGGATTTGTGGATGACCATGATCACCCATATCCTGAATGGACATGGCACATAGAAAAAAATTAAAAATAAATTGCAATTTCCTCCCCACCCAGGCAAAACTCTTAGAACAATGCCACTGTGAATGTGTTAAGTGTGCATTAAGATTTGTTTTATTGGCTCCACTTTTTGAAAAAAAAAAAAAAAAAAGCGGAGGAATTTTTTAGCAAAATTTAATATGGAGTCTTTTAGAGTATGATTATTAGTGAAGCCACAATGGTGGTAAGAATTTATTTTTGGAGTTAAAATTAGTTAAATCTGTGTAGAAGATAAATACAGCCAGCTTGAGTCTTTCACTCTTTTTTTTTTTTTTTTTTTTTTTTTTTTTCTTACTAATTGTTCATACAATGCAAGGTCCAAGAGCCACTCAAGGTAGAAGGTTACTGAATGAGGTTAATGCATGTAAGAGGTTATAAGAAGTACAGATTATGAGGATATGTAGGAAAGATATAAACCAAAGAAGTTAAGGTTGTAATGATTGGGGAAAGCATCCTCTTGGGAGTCTGTTCCAGAAAGTAGCAGTTTTGGCAAAGAATCTATCCAAATGGAAATTGCTTTTTACTTATGGAATACAAAAGGAATAGGGATGATTCCCCCCCCCCACCTCATGTATATGGCATGGCGAGTCTTAATTGTGAAAGTCAGGGCTGATGGAAATAAAGAATGTTGCTAGTCAAAATTTTCCATGGAAAATAAATAGCTGCATCTACTGCAAGGAAAGTTGGTTCACTGGGTTGTGCCAGAAGGTTTTTCTTGTCAGAGTACATCTTACAAATCTACCATTCGTCCGTGCACTGGATACTGATCTGTTGCCCCTACTGTTGATCTCAAGGTTCTCGACAAAATCCAAAGAAGGATCTGCACTGTAATCAGCCCTGACTTGACATCTTTACTTCAGTCA